GACAACCTGGGACAGATGGAACAGAAGCCAGTCTAATACTTCATTTCTGAGAACTTCAGAATTGGTAAAAGAGTCAACTTCTCAAAAATCCAGGCTTTCATTCAGATTGAGCATATTTCCATGCCATGTGCTCTGAGGACCCTGATGCATTTCAACATTCAGTAGCACTGGACTTAGAATCGTCAGCTAGTGTGCAGCAATCAGCCATAGAATAGTAGAACTCAGACCTCCCCAAAGGGTTTTACCAAGCACTTCTCTCTACCAAACTCTCTTCCCCCCCCATCCAACCCCACCCTAAAGTGCCTCAGATAAGCCCTGAAGGCTTGGTCTTTTCATAGGCCTTCAAATCAAGAGGGGTACTTGGGCAATAGCTGCTCAGCTCAAACCAATTTTTGAGAGAAGGCAGATTGCCAACTAGTAGTTAAAAATATAAAAATCTAGATACTTGTAACCCTCTTTTAAAAAAGAGATATAACAATAATGTGATGAAAATAGGAAACAGTAATTACTAGAAACAAGATAATCCACCTTATTTTCACTCCCCATGGTCCCTGTCTACATGAATTTTTTTTATTACTTACATAATTTTTCTATTGGGAGAAAATAGGTATAAACTTTATGGAAGGCAATTTGGCAACATTAAGCAAATATCTTAAGGCCAGATATCTTTTCACATAGTATCTCCATATTTAGAAATTTAACCTAAGAAAATAATTAAGAGGGAAAAAAAAAAGAGTATAGGCATAGATTTAACTAGAAAGATGTTTATAACAGCAAAAGACTGAAAACAACCTAAAGTCCAGCACTGAGAAGTTGATCAAATAAAATATTAAATCCTTATGAAGGAATGGCATGCAGTCATCACAAATGATGTACAATAACTGACAGAAAAGATATTTATATTATATTATTAAAGAAAAAAGACACAAAATAAATGTATGATAGAACTCTACAAGAAAACCCTAAAACATTAGAAACTTTTTTCCTCTCCAAATTAGAATTTGGAGATATTTAATTTTTACATTTCTACATTTGTAATTCTAACTCTTAACAAGTATTTATTACTTGGTCTATAAAGTACTACCAGTATTCAAATAAGTGTACTTATGATCATAGTTCACCTATGATTACATGTTCTGCCTTTCTTATTTATATATTATTTCTTTTATTTATTTATTTTTAAGATTTTATTTATTTATTTGACAGAGAAAGCAAGAGAGCACAAGCAGGGGGAACAGTAGAGGGAGAGGGAGAAGCAGGCTCCCCGCCAAGCAGGGAGCCCGATGCGGTGCTCGATCCCAGGACCCTGGGATCATGACCTGAGCCAAAGGCAGACGCTTAACCATCTGAGCCACTTTAAAGGCTTTATCCTTTTTATAAAACAAGGTAGGAACATGGTGCTGACAAGCCAAGTGCCCTTTGGCAGACCCTCAAGACATGAGAGTAACCTGATGTCCTGTTTTCCCTGAGATTTCTAGGCCTTATCACCTCCTTTGCTCTTGCCAAGTGCTGACTCATTAGGAACAGTAATCCTGGGGTATCAAGGAGATTTTGTTTTAATACTCTCTTATTTTCCAGGGTTCTCCAAAGACTTCTAAAGAAGGGTTTATCCAGCATTTTATACCTCAGTTCAGGAATCAATTTCTACCCATTTTAATTCAGGGTTGACCATTTGCACCCAGCAGGAGTTACAGATGAACTGGTTGACGTTCTGTGATGTGTCACTCTAGGGGAGAGATACAGTTCACAATGATCCTTTCCCCCTGGCTTCAGGAAAATTAGAATTCCATGATCAAAAGGCAAAAAGACAAAAGCTCTCCTGGAGAGCTCCCCTTCTGTGTCCTATCTTTCACAACATATTGTTTTTTTCACATCAGAGTTTCTTTGAAATGATTAATCCTTTTCCAGAAGAATTATCTAAAAATGTGTTACAATAACCAACATATGGAAACAACCTAAGGGCCCATCAATAGACGAACAGATAAAGAAGATGTGGTACACACACACACACACACACACACACACACACACCCCAATGGAATACTACTCAGCCATAAAAAGACTGAAATGTTGCCGCTTGTGACAACATGGATGGACCTTGAGGGTATTATGCTAAGTGAAATAAGTCAGAGAAAGACAAATACCACATGATTTCACTTATAAGTGGAATCTAAAAAACAAAACGAACAAATAAACAAAAGACAACCCAGACTCATAGATGCAAAGAACAGAGGGATGGTTGCCAGAGGGGAAGGGGTTTGGGGGGTGTGAGAAATGAGTAAAGGGGACCAAGAGATACAAACTGTCAGTTATAAAATAACTAAGTCATGGGGATATAATGTATAGCACATGGGGAACACAGTCAATAGTATTGTATTAACTTTGTATGGGGACAGATGGTAATTAGATGTATCATGGTGGTCAGTTTGCAATGTATATAAATGTTGAATCCCTATGATGTACATGCAAACCTAATAGAATATCGTATGCCAATTATACTTCAACAAGAAATTAAATACATAAAAATGTGTTTAGCCCAAACCTAAAGTTTTTACACCATTTTCCAAAAGGTGATAATCAACCTTGTTTTAAAATAGATTTCAGTGTCACTTAGAAGTCTCTGCTGAAGAATCACTAATTAGATGGCAAGCCCCAGTCACGCTTGGGAGGAATTAGAGCAGGGCTTTAATGAAGATTCCTGCAGTCACAGGAGTGTTAGGGAAATGTTTCTGTCCCAAATCTAGTTCTGGTAGTACCACAAGGCTTTGTCAATGCTGCTGGGATTTTTGGATAATAACAACAGAGGCTTTAAGTTTGACTGAAGAATTTAAACTGTCCCCGTAGGAGTGTGCAATCGAATGTTGCAGTTTCTCTTTCAAAAGTAGCCACCCTCACAGTGGAGTTCTAGACACCTGCCCACAAAACCAGACCAAACACTCCACATGTGTTCCCTAGCCCCTCGTTGAGCCGCTCATAAACACTCAACAATCGTCCTTTCTGTAGAAAAATAGCACCTGCTAAAAGATAACAGAAGAACTTCTGTTCATTCTTGAAAAGTATCTTACATCATTCCTTCTGGATTTGGGAGGATGTCTTAGTTCCCTGAAGCTGTGGCAATGCGTATACAATTGAGACACCAGATTCTGCATAGTCCTGTTTCCCACAGATAACTTTCCCACTCGGTTGAGCAAATATCACACGTGCTTACAATATTTCCTCATAACTTTGCATTGTTGGTTGAGGATAGAAATGTTCAAAAAGTGCCGTGGGTACCGAGGGAAGGATGACCAATGATTTTTTTCCTGCATAATCTTCATCCTTGAAACCATAGCTCATTATCCAACTCACTTTTCCTGGCCAGAGTCTTAGTATCTTTTAAGATTGCATGCTCATCTCAATTCATGTTGGTTTCCACTCTCCACTGAGTCTAAAGATTTAGGTGGCAACACCTAGAATTAGTTCTGGCCTCTAGGCTGTGAAAGGTAACAGCTTGTGAAATCTGAATGTGAACCTACACTTCCTGTCTTGGCAACTGATCACTTTCTTTATTTGTGAAATGATGTCTCTTCTGCAAATTTCCCACTCCAAGGTGGATGTCTAATGTTTTCCCCATTTCTTTTCTGATTTTCTGATTTGAAAATGTTAAATTACAATAATAGCACATACATTGTAGCAGATGAAATTATATAGTAACTGAATACAACAAATCTATAATAGGAAAGATTAGTCCCTTCTCTTCTCACCTATGTTACCTTTTTTGTCCATTTCCAGTTGGATGATACAAGGTAACCATGGCAAATTGCTTATGTCTTTCCTCCTCAAGCAGAATACATAGTTCATGTTGGGCCATTTGGAGACCTTCTGCCTCTTTGGGGAGTGAGAGTTTACTGGAAAGAGGTTATTGAATGATAAGTGTCCAAATGTGCCGATGTAGTTGGGGTCATCAAACAAGGGACTCTAACTCTGTCAGGCCAGAATCACTGACCTCAGGTGCCAAAGAGTCCAGTTGTGTGGCTTGGCCTTCGGATAGAAAATTAAGGTGAATGTTCATTAGAAGAACTGACCCCACTCTCGCCTGGGGACCTGAACAAGGATGTGACCTGATTTTGAGGATTCTCCCTCGCAGGGTCAGGTACTGAGGACACATTGATAGCCACGAGTTGGCACTTAGAGGCTGTTCCATTTTCACTTGGGAGGTGGCAGCCCCAGGCAAGTCACTGGGGAAGAAGGCTTGCAGCAGCCTGCAGAGGAAAGTATGACTTGATCGGCAGGGTCCCCACATTCCCGCTGCCATGAGTGGCAGAGTCCCAGCAAGAGAAAGTCTCTGGGGGGAAATGATGCTCCCTTCTTAAAAGGGCACACACCCAAATTCTCAAATAAGGCCCACGAGGAATTATATCTTCCCTCTAGGCTGAGAGGCATTCTGGGGGTAGAAAGGGCTGGAGACGCTTTGAGAGAGTAGGCAAATTTCTGCTCTGGAAGCTGAGGGGAATTCTGCTCTGTAGGAAATAGTGTGTCCTTTCACTGAGGGCTGGGATAGTATCCTTCCTGCCTTAAGGGAAGATGAACCAAGAGCGAGGAGATAGCGGACATTTTCCTGCAGGTGGGTGGGAACACTTGCACTTAAAAAATCTTTTTCCCCGGAGGAAGGGGGCCCTCGATGCCATAAATCCGGAAGGGCCCTCAGGATAATTTATAAGTCAACTTGGGGAATGAAAAAGCCCTGCTTCTGTATTCTGGGTGCCCTTTGTATAGAATCATACGATCTCAGGAGGGAGTGGCCGAGGAAGTCATCTTTCCATGCCCTTCCCATTCCCAACAGCCCGTTCAGAGCACTGGATTCATTTCAGCATTTGTCAAATGACTGAGGAGGGAATGAATGAATGAATGAATGAAGTAATTCCTGCCTTCTGCCAACTCTCCAGGGAAGAGGCCAGGCACCCTTCTCGCACCCTCTTCTTTGCACCTGTGCCCCCGCGCCCTGCCCAGCCTGCGCTCACCTTGTGCTGCTTCCACATGGCTCCCAGCGGCTTCACCTCGTGCTTGCCGTGACGGCCCTCCTCCAGGCACAGGTAGCACACCGGCGTTCGGCAGCTCACGCAGTACATGCTGTAGCTCTCCATTTCGTGCTCGGGGCACGTAGGGAACTTGCGGGCCGAGCTGCCCCCCGCCGCTCCGGCGCCCCCCGGGCTCTTGCAGCCGCCGCCTCCGCTGGGGGCGCCCTGGGCCGCGCCTGGGGATGCTGAGGCGGCCTCGGCGGGCGCGGGCGGCGGCGGCGGCTGCACCAAGCGATGCTTAGCGAAGGGTCCTCGGGACGGATGGCATTTGAGCTGGCAGGCAGCGCAGTAGAGCACGTCGCACTGCTCGCACAGCGTGGCGGCCGGCTCCGGCGGGGTGCGGTCGCACAGCTGGCAGATGGCCACTGCAGCGGCTGCGGACGCCCCGTGCACGGCCCCGCGGCCCTGCTGGTGCCGCTGCACGATGGCCTCGAGCAGCCGGTTGCGCTGGAAGCCGCGCAGGCCTCGGTGGTCCAGGGACGCGCTGCGGTGGCACTGCGGGCACGTGATGGAGCTTGAGGAGGACGAGGACAGCGAGGAGCAGGCGGCACCCCGGGCCGCGGCGGCCGAAGAGCCAGGCGGCGCAGGCACCATGGGCAGCACGCGAACCCCGTTGGGGGACTTGAGGCTGGGGGTGTAGGAACCATAACCGCTGTCTGTCTCACTGTACAAGCTCAGCTTGTCCGCGTGGTCCCCGCCACCTCCCGCACCGCCGCCCAGGCCGCCGGCTGCGCTCCCGCTCGCGCCGCTGCAGGCCGGGCCCGCCGCAGCGTCGTGGTCCAGAGGGGGCGCCGCGCCGGCGCCGGCGGGTAGCCCCGAGCCCCGGGAGTGCAGAAGCGGCTGGGGCAGGTGCTGCTCACCGTCCGGTGTCTGCACGGCGATGGTGCGAGCGCAAGGAAGGCAGACGTTGTGAGAACAGGGCAAGATGATGGGCTCCCGAAACAGGGAGCCGCACACGGGGCACTTCAGCTCCTCCTCCATCGCGGCGCGGGCAGGCCGAGCTGCTCACAGCTCCGGAGACAGGCGGAGGGGACCAAGCGTGGTTAGCACCGGAGAGGCTGCAAGCGAAGGCATTACACAGGCATGGCCACTTCACAGCCCGGGGGCACGCCCCTCTCTCTGTCCTGGGGCCACCGCCCTAGGACCGCTGGGGGCAAGAGAAGGGGGAGGGTCCTCACCTCCTGCCCGCGAGGCTCCTGCGCCAGCGGCTTCAACCTGCGGCCAGAGTCCGGAGCCAGTCGGCTGCCCTCTCGATGGCCTGTGAGGCGCTCTAGGTTGATGAATCAGCACTAGCGCCGCCGCTGGCTGCAGCGCGCGTCTCCTCTGCACATCAGGACCAGCGGCCGGGCTGCCGTTCCCTGGCTGTTGGGTTTCAACCCCTCGTCTCCAGTGGGCAGCTGCTCAGGGGCTCCCTTTTGCTCCGGCCCCGCCCCAGTCAGAGCGATCAGTAGGTGAGAAGGCGGGTGAGCAGGCCCTTTGGCCGTGGGGCTGGGTTCAGCACCACGAGGCGACGGACAGCGCCCAGAGCTTGAGGTGGAGCCGCCGCTCCTCGCGCGCGGACTGAGTGGCCGCCACCTGGCGTGCAGGGTCGCAGCTCCAGCGACTGTCTCGGCGGGGCCCGGCTGGCTCCGAGACCTTCGCTCGCCGCCCTCCCTGGTGGCTGCTGGTGCGAACCAAATGCGCCCTGGGGGCTTTTTCCCCGCGGCAAGGACTGACCCGCTGCCTGGGTTCGCTGCTGCCGCGCCTGCGGCGCCTCTGACCTTGGTCGCGCGACGCTGCAGCCGGCGGGCGGAGGGCGAGTGCCCGGCTGGCTCGGGAATCCCCTCCCCGCCTCCCTCCCGCCGCCGCCGCCGCCTCCCCGCGCGGCGTGCTGAGGAGTTGTAATTTCCTGAGCGGAGAGTAGTGGGGGGCGGGGGGAGTCGAGGAGGCGTCAGCTCAGCGAATAAGGGCTCGCCTTTTGCTGCTAGGGGAGTCAAGGGGCAATTTTAAGGGTTTCGTAGAGAGGATCATGGTTAATAATAATCTATTATTTGGATGGAGATTGCATCTTGAATTAGTACAACGCCCTGCCCCGCCCCTGCCATCTTCCCCCCGTGCCCGCTCCCGCGCCCCCACCCACCACCATAAAAGAAGGGGACCTAAAAAGCCAGTTGTTTACAAATGGATAGGTAGCATGGTTTGACAGTCGCTTCCCGAATCTATGACAGAGCAAAAAATGCAAGTCACAAAATGTCGGACAACCTGAAGCCAAAGGGTGAGGTTTTATTTACGGATTGAACCACAAGCCATTTTCTCTCTTGGTTTTAACCAAGAGTTCTCATCCGCGGTCGACGCCAGTCGTCCATACAGTCTGAGTGAGGACACAAGGTAGGATTTCTAAAAAGGGACTCCCTGGCGAAACGCGAAAACGCGCCAGTTTAGGCCCGTTGACCCTTGGAACAGGGCACCCGGGACCCAGTCCTACCCTGCTGCGGATGGGGCGGTTTGGGGCCGGCGGGAAGTCAGGGAGCAGAGGTGTTGGTTTTATGAATGGGGAAATCTCCACGCCAGCCACGGGCTACGGGAACAGCCTCCCACCCGCGGCCCTGGCTGTTTCGTCTGCTCCGCTGTTCTCTGTCAGCTGCCGAAGGAAGGATGGTGGGGGGAGGCCGAGGGCTCGGTGGGTGGGGATAGGCAAAAGGAAGGGCTCGCCGCGCGGCAGGCTCTGCCTACAGAAGTGTCACCAGGCATGAAACAGCCACAAATTAGGAAATCGTTTGTTTAGAAATGATATGAATATTGAAGTCACGCCTCCCTCCCCCGTTCTCAGATTTTCCAGTACTCCAAACAAAGACAAGATAGGCGCCACAGAGCAGTGCGTGGAGTCTCAGCATTTGCTAGTCACCGGGTGAGGGGGCTGCTCTGGCTGGCGGTTTACAGCAGGAAAAGGCTGCAGCCCTGACTATGGCTTGGTGTCTAAGGGACAAGGATCCCTTGCAGGTAGACCTCTGGGGGAGAGGGGTGGCGATAGTCTGTAAGGCCCGGCCCCGAACTTTGGGATTGCCAGCTCCTTTACTGAGCAGTCTCCTCACCCTGAGCAGCTTGCTTTCGCTTTCCTAGTCTCTGATCTTGCGTCTGTCAAATGAGTCAAATTATGTATGCGAACTAAATGAAGTAATCCTAAATACAAATTGCATAGCCTACTTCCGGCTTTAACATCCAATGACTCTTCAGTTCGGTTTTGTATTGAGCAGCCTGGCTCCAGTTTGTCTTAAGGTTGAAGAGCAGGCAGGTCAACCTTGTGCCCGATAGAGCCCCGCGGAGGTTAAGAGACCTGATGTGACTTCCCTTCAGCTATAGGGGGCTTAGAACAATTATTTAACCAGGTATCAAGTATCCCCAGGTGGAAGATGGTGACAAGCCTGTCCTAATCCGCCTTCTATAGATAAAGTCTTAATGAGCTGGATCCTGCCTGCAATGCTTTGATAAGCCTTCAAGAAAGTTGCTACAGTATCAGGTCCTGGATGCCTGGCATGAGTATAGATAGGTCTATGATTGAATGCACTCGAAGATGCATTTCTTGTCATTTTAACATTGTGATCACTCAGTCCAGCCCAGCTTAGCCCAGCCTCCTGGTGACTGCAAGGAAAGTAAGAACCTCTGGTTCTATTGTAAACAGCCTCCTCCCCCACTAAGCAGTCATAAACCTGAGACCCACTCTTTGTCATTTTCAGACTAAGGTAAACTGCTTAGGGGCATGGGGAGGGCTGCTGGAGGGGTATATAAATCTTTCCCTCCAATTCCAATAACTCAGTCACTCAGGCTGAGCATGATTTTGTTTCCTCGGGGAGGAAGCTCATCTAATACATCAGAATTGTACACCTATGCATTTCTCTCATGCCCTCCATCCCCACCACCTCAATTCCACAATCTATCAGTTTAGCCTTGTATTGCACTGTTGCTAAGGCATTGCTCACTTGGGAGATTGGTATTCTACAGCTGCTTTGTATGATCTGAGGTTCCACAGCCAGTTCCAACATTTCACTGTATAGAACCATAACTACTAACAATTGTCAACATTGCCTATAAAAAGCTCTCTTTCCATCCCAACTTTGTCACATGCTCTAGGTGTAGAAAATTATAGCTCTATTTTCTATAGAAAATTATAGCTCTAGAAATCTTCCTTTCTTTCCTGCAGAAGGTATCAACAGATCCACATGGAAATTTTCTCCTTTTAAATCTCAGATTCAAATAGGTTATTTTCTTTTTGTTCTTGTGTGTGTGTGTCTATGTGTGCATGTGCTGTTAAAGACAACAGGCCCAGGGCGCCTGGGTGGCTCAGTCGGTTAGGCGACTGCCTTCGGCTTAGGTCATGATCCTGGAGTCGCTGGATTGAGTCCCGCATCAGGCTCCCTGCTCGGTGGGGAGCCTGCTTCTCCCTCTGACCCTCCCCCCTCTCATGTGCTCCCTCTCTCTCATTCTCGCTCTCTCAAATAAAAATAAATAAAATCTTTAAAAAAAAAAAAGACAACAGGCCCAAAATGGAGTCACTTATGCTAAGTGACTCACCGAACTGAGACTTAACTTAATTACAATTTTGGCTCTCCTAGAAATGGAGTCTGGAACCAGTCAATCAGAAATCGCCTGATTAGCACTCACTAGGTAATCTGCCTAAAGAGCCTTGTCATCTCCTAGAGAAAGTCACCTTGTAATAACCAACCCATTTTTTTTTAATCTAGTATGACTTCCTTGTACCAATAAAAGTCTTTCATTTTGTATAGCTTCAAAGAGCTCCTTTCTATCTGCTAGATGGGATGCTGCCCAATTCATGAATCACTGAATAAAACCAATAAGATTTTTAAAATTTACTCAGTTGAATTTTGTTTTTTAGCAACGCAGCAATTTTCTTAATATCCTTTACTTCTGATCGTCCTGGTGTTTAATTATTTCTATGTGCTTCTCTTTCCTTTGGTCATCTCCATCTCTATTCTAAACTACTTATGGATCTCAGAAAGATGGCCCCATATTTAATTCCTGGTTATGAACATAAATCTCTCTAGTGTCATCCTAAGTACTCCATTTCCCATAGCCCTGTTTCTTCTAAAAGAGAAATATTTGGACACATTGGAACAGCACATTAGTAATTAAAACTCAACAATGCACTGTCATCAAGGCAGAGAAAAACATTCTGCCATGAGTTTCTTTGTGCTCCAGGATTTTTTCTTTTTAAGATTTTATGTATTGTAGAGAAAGAGAGCATGAGTGGGGGTAGGAGCAGAGGGAGAGGGACAAGCAGACTGAGCGCAGAGCTGGACGTGGGGGGCTCGATCTCAGGACCCTGAGATCATGACCTGAGCCAAAATCAAGAGTCAGATGCTTAACTGACTCACCCCTCCAGGATGGTTTTTATGCTTGAGTGTCCCAGAAACACTCCAGAGGCAGGATAATGTTGCCTCTCCTCCCAAAAAAATACAAATAAGTTGAGTAACTTAAACTAACACAGCAAGTTACAAGTAACATAATCAATCTGTTTTGTCTTTTGAATTTCCAGTATGAAATAGAAAGTTATTTAAGGCTTTATCAACTAAAAATAGATGCTGTATTTTAAGCATAAGAATCCTTGAAATTTTTAGATGAAAACATGATATTTTTCTTTTAAGTTTTTGTTTGTTTATTTTTTTACAGTGTAGGACGATTTAGGAAATTTAATAAAAATCTATAGCCCAGGAACCATATGGTCTAAAGTAGTTTGAATTTAACTAGAAAAAAGTGGCCACATCCACTGCTATGCACAGAGCACCAAAGCTGCTTTGTGGCAAAGTTAATGAGGAACAATTACCACTAGCAACACAAAGCATCCTCTCCAGGCCATAAAACTGGCTTCTTCTCCAGAAGACAGATCCTATAGAGGAATCTTAAAATCCAGCCACTTTCCCTTTCAGACTGGTGCTTAACAGTCTTCTAACCTTTTGAGTACCAAATAATGATTGCCCCACACCTCC